AACCCAAAGGCAGGCAGGCATAGTGGCTCATGCCTGTATCCCATACTTTGGGAGACGAAGGCAAGAAGACTGCCTGAGTCTGCGGGTTTGAGACCAGCCTGGGCAACAGGGCAAGACCTCCCTCATCTCTACAATAAATCAAAAAATTAGCCAGGCGTGGTGGCACACGCCTGTACTTCCAGCTACTTGGAAGGTTGAAGTGAAAGGGTCACCTGAGCCCAGCAGGTTGAGGTGGTAGTGGCCATGAGTGTGTCACAGCACTCCAGCCTGGGTAACAAAGTGAGACTCAGATGCAAAAAAACAACAAAAAACAAACAAAAAAAATCCAAAGGTACTTTGAATAAAATAACCATGTTACAAATTTTAAAAATTGCTTTTAGGTTGTGGGCAAAAACTAAACTTTTTCCTAATGGCGATGAATACACATATCAACATTAAAGTAAGTACACAGAATCACTTTTCCCTAAGAAACCTAAAAATATTTAAATCACACTCAATAAACAGTTCAAACAGATTAAGTTTTCCAATGATCTGTATTTTCTACAACTTCAACTCAGGCATACCTTAACTCTTCCAACTAATTTTCCTATTATCAGTCATTTGAAAGTAGGACAGATGAGTAAGTATTAACTAAATCATGCCAATAAGCATAATAGTAGCATTAGTCTTAAATTCCAACACTCTGTAACAGTAAGTGTTATTGATTGTAATGACTAAATGTTATTTAAAAAATTTTTTTTTTTGTAGAAACAGGGTCTCACTATGGTGCTAGGCTGATCTTGAACTCTTGGCTTCAACTGTTCCTCCCATCTCGGCCTCCCAAAGTGCTGGGATTACAAACCTGAGTCACCATGCCTGAACTACTAAATGTTATTGACTATGATGATGTAGGTCAATAGCTTTAACCTTTATGTTTTATTTTTATTTTTTAAAATTTTTATTCAATAGTTATAATAATTTTTCTTCAAAAATAAAATAAAATCCAAGTTAAACTTCTTACTATTTTATTTTCCTACAAAAGAAGCATTCAAATGTATACGTTTTACTTTTTAAAGGTTAGTAAAAATAGTTCTAGTAGAAAAAAAGGTAAAGTAAGTAAGATTCGTTCATACTGAATTAGCTCATATTTGGGGAAGAAGCCTGATCTGTTTCTATGGTTTCATTAATTAGACTAAAACCACAATCAATTTTAGTCAAGTTTTTTCCTCCTGGAAGAAAGTGTTTTTTTGTTCTTCACCATGCACCTGTTTTATAAGATAATAATTCTCATTCATAAATATGAAAAATCTGAAGTTAAGTATGTGGTTCCAGGTCACATCTGCAAGTCAGTGACAGAAAAAGAACTGGAGCTGTGAGACGGGCTTAACATGCTGATCCCTCATTCTCCACCTTCTGCTCTTGATTCCACCCAAGGGGAACATGTATCTTCAGGACACCTCTCTGGAAGTACTTTCCAGACGTCACCACAGTGTGCTTCTTCAGGACTAAAACAAACAATGTTTATATGAGGCACACCATGACAGAACTTTGCTCTCATCTCACCTTATAAAAGTAAAACGGTTGCAAATTGAGAACTTCGATAATCCAAGGAAAAGTACGAGGTGAGCTATAGGCAAAGAGCACAATTTCCAAGCAACAAGCCATCAAGGAATGGTGAAATATGTCCTGCTCTAAAAGAACCTTGGGGAAAAGAAAGACCACGCTTTAATATTTCTCAGCAATTTCAGTCTTTGCCATTCTATAAAGAAAACTACAGAAACAAGATAAAATAACTTGTGTAAATTATGTTAGATTACCAGAGATAAAAGTTTGAGTTCTCAAACTAAAAGTTTTTCTTATCTCTAATCTTGCTCAGTGGTAGATCTTAAATTTAAATGAGGTGTACATAACAATCTGCTTTGAAATCTGAACAAATAATAAAATAGTCAATATTTCCATCAGGAGAAAAGCATTTGGGTTGGTTCTTTTTTTATGATAGTTAACTGTTTAACCAATATAAGTGTTTATTAATCAAAACACAGAAGTGGAAGGTAACAGGTCATAGCTAAGACAAAAAAGTTCAGAAGAAGAAATATTTCACTGATGAGATAAAGTCTTATTTTACCACTGAGTTCATAAAATTTAATATAAGTTCAGATATATAGTATACTCAGCCTCCCAAATACAGCTGGAACTACAGGCCTAGCCAACCACACCCCACTAATTTTTTAATTTTTTGTAGAGAAGAGTTCTTGCTATGTTGCCCAGGCTGGTCTAGAACTCCTGGGCTCAAGCAATCCTCATGCTTCAACCTCCTGCTGGGATTACAGGCATGAGCCGCTACACCTGGCCAAGTTTTCAGTTTTAAAGATAGTGTTTGTTTCCTTCTTTCTTTCAAATATCACTTTAAATCAACAAAGAAAATAAGAAATAGAACTCCCATCCTTGATAAAACTAGATAAATCTGGAACTGCAAACCATTACACACACACACATATATGTGTGTGTGCGTGTGTGTGTATATATATATATATATATATATATGACATATATATATATGAAGACTGGAAGTAGGTGAAAGGATGACAAATTACTCAGCAGAAAGGAGGATGGTCAAACATAAGGGGCTGCAGAGAGACACAAAGCAAAAGAATATAATCTCTGGAATCTAGGGAAAGGCACAGCAGCTGAAGACACAAGCAGAATGGAATGCAGGGATAAGGTGGGACCAACATGGATGGGTGATCTGAAAGTCTATAATAGTTAGAGCCCTTGGGTCCCCACCCAATCTCCACTCTAGTCTATCTCCACAGGGATCTGCAGGATTATTCTCTAGAGAAACTGGATCAGAGACTCAGCTGGAGGACACCAGGCACAGAAGAGAATGAGGTTTTAGGTGAAAGTCTGCAGGCTGAACCGTGAGACCAAATTTCCTTTTCTTGTTCTGATCTACAACACCAAAAGCCAGGTAAGGGATGAGCAGATCTATCCCTGGAGAAATTGAAATATTTCAGAAAAGCCTTACAAACACCAACAGGTGAAAATTCCAAATACTACATGACTAGCTAGCTGAAGTCATTGAACTTTTATCCTCATGCACATAGAGTTTTGATACAACTTTTTAGTGCTTCATTCAAAGGTAAGTAGACACCCAAGAATAACCTGAAATTTGAAAAAAAATTTCTAATTGAGAAATACAGGTCAAAACAAACAGAAAGGCTGGGTGTGGTAGTACATGCTTGGAGTTCCAGCTACTCAGGAGGCTGAGATGGCAGGATCACTTGAGCCCAGGAGTTTGAGACCAGCCTGGGCAACATACCAAGACCTTGTCTTATAAAAAAAATTAAAAACAGAGGGAAAAAAACCAAAAATTCCAAAGAGGCAGAGACAAAGCAGACAACAGAAGAAAAGTTCAAAGAAATCTAAATTAATAACTTCAAAGAACAAGAGATAGAAATGAAAACATGGCTGAAAATTCATTAAGAGTAGATGACAAAAAATTGAGTAAATATCCTTAAAAGCAGGATAAAAGAGACAAAGAAACAGAAAATAAGAGAAGAAAATAAAAAGGTCAATTTAGAAGTCCATCATCTGAATAATAAAAGTTCCAGAAAGATAAATCAATGGGTAATACATCATTAAAGAAATAATGCTTCGTGACCCGCCTGGGCAACTTGGCGAGACCTCATCTCTACAATAAATCAAAAATTAGCCGGGCGTGGTAGCGCACGTCTGTATTTTCAGCTACTCGGAAGGCTGAGGCGGAAGGATCGGTAGAGGCTGCGGTGGCCGGGAGCGGCCACTGCACTCCAGTCTGGGCGACCGAGTGAGACTCCCACTCAAAAAAAAAAAGACATAATACAATAAAATGATCGAGAACTGCAGTATGTAAATTTATAGACTAAAAGGGCAACTCTGTAGAAATATCCAACATGTGAGTGAAAAAATCCACAATAAGACACACATCTGGCTGGGTGCAGTGGCTCATGTCTGTAATCCCAACACTTTGGGAGGCTGAGATGGAAAGATTGCTTGAGCCCAGGAGTTTAAGAGCAGCCTGGGCAACATGGTGAGATCCCATTTATATAAAAAATTTAAAACTTAGCTGGGTGTGGTAGTATGAGCCTGTAGTCCCAGCTACTTGGGAAACTGAGATGAGAGGATGGCTTGAGACCAGGAGTTTGAGGCTGCAGTAAGTTATGATTGTGCCACTGCACTTCAGACTGGACTACAGAGCAAGACGGCCTTTAAAAAAAAAAAAAGGAAGATACTGAAAGATTCCAAAAAGAAAAAACAAATCACATACCAATAACTGGGAATTAGAATGCTACTGGACTTCTCATTAGCAATATTGGAATCTAGAAGATAATGGAGCAATACCTTCAAAATCATAAAGGAAAATTATTGTCAATCTGCAATTCTTTTCTTTTTTAAATTATTTTTTTTAAAAGATACTTGCTATGCTACCCAGGTTGAAGCACAGTGGCTGTTTACAGGCGTAATCACAGTGTATTACTTCAAACTCCTAGGCTCAAGTGATCCTCTCACCTCAGCCTCCCATCAGTATAGAATTCTATACACAGACAACTATCAATCAAGTATGAGTCTAAAATAAAGGAATTTATGCAGTCTTAAAAAAGGAACTTAAGGTGAGATAAGGTTTCTACACCTTGCTTGAATTGGTAAAATGTCTACACCAAAATCTACAAAAAAAAAAAAAATATTTACAAAGTCTAAAAAATGTTTAAGCAACTCACGGGGAGGCAGAAAAAGTAAAACAGAAAACACAACAACAAAAGAATGAGAAAAAACAGGAAACAAAAATAAAATGGCAGACTTAACCCCTAACACATCAAGAATTAACTGTAGTATGGCACACTTCTGTGGTTCCAGCTACTTGGAAGGATCATCTGTGCCCAGCAGGTTGAGGTTGCAATGGCCACGAGTGTGCCACTGCACTCTAGCCTGGGCATGAGAGTGAGACTCACACTTAAAAAAAAAAAAAGACTCGCGGAGCCGACTACCCCCGAACCACGCAGCTGCCTGGCTCTTGTGCTCACCATGTCTGGCTCCTCCAGTGTCGCCGCCATGAAGAAAGTGGTTCAGCAGCTCCGGCTGGAGGCCGGGCTCAACCGCGTGAAAGTTTCCCAGGAAGCTGCAGACTTGAAACAATTCTGTCTGCAGAATGCTCAGCATGAACCTCTGCTGACTGGAGTATCTTCAAGTACAAATCCCTTGAGACCCCAGAAAGTCTGCTCCTTTTTGTAGCAAAAGGAGTCTTTCAAAGGTTTCCCAAACCACTTCTTACGAACCAGTGAATATTCAAGAGAGCGAAATTTGAAGCCTGTACAAAAGCTCATCCCTGCAACTCACATGCCATAATACACAAACTTCTACTTTTGTCAGTCTTTAACATCTACCTCTCTAAATTTTCATGAATTTCTATTTCACAAGAGTTACTATTTTATATACACTGGTAGCAGCATACAATAAAATACTTACTATAAAAAAAAAAAAAGAAGGGCTGGCCACAGTGGCTAAAGCCTGTAATCCCCAGCACATTGGGAGGCGGAGAGGAGAGGACTGCCTGAGTCCAGGGGTTCAAGACCAGACTGGGCAACTTGGTGAGATCTCGTCTCTCTACAATTAAAAAAAAATAGCTGGGCATGATGGCATGCCTGTAGTTCCAGCTACTTGGAAAGCTGAGGTGGAAAGATTGCCTGAGTCCAGCAGGTTGAGGCTGCAGTGGCCGTGAGTGTGCCACTGCACGTCCGCCTGGGAGACAGAGTGAGATTCTAATACAAAAATAAATAAATAAATATAAAATAAAATTTAAAAATGAATTAAATGTAAGAGGTCTAAATTTACCAATTAAAAGATTGAGATTAGCAAAGGAGATTTCAAAAAAACATGACCCAACTATATACTGCTTACAAAAAACTCATTTCAAAGACAATTTTATAGGTTGCTTGAAAGCAGAATGATGGAAAAAGATATACTACACAAACATTAACCAAAAGAAAGCAGGAATCAGGGATATTCCAATAGGAAAAGTGGAAGTTAAGTCATCCCTCTTTGTGGACGATATGATTCTATACCTTGAAAACACTAGGGGGGGCCTGTCAAAAGCCTCCTCACATTGATAAATGACTTTGGTAAAATCGCAGGTTACAAAATCAACATGCAAAGACAGTTGCATTTCTATACACCAGCAACAAGCAGGCGGACAACCAAATAAAAAGCATAATCCTATTCACAAAAAAGCACACACAAAAATGAAATACCTTGGAATCCACCTAACCAAAGAAGTGGAAAACCTTTAACAAGGACTATAAAATGCTGCTCAAAGAAATAAAAAATGATACAAACAGGCTGGATGTAGTGGCTCAAGCCTGTAATCCCAGCACTTTGGGAGTCCGAGGAGAGAGGACTGCCTGTGACCAGGCATTTGCGCCCAACCTGGCCAACTTGGCGAGACCTCGTCTCTACAATAAATTTTAAAAAATTAGTCGGGTGTGGTGGCATGTGCCTGTAGTTTCAGCTACTTCGAAGGCTGAGGCAGAAGGATCGCCTGAGTCCAGTAAGTCGAGGCTATGGTGGCTGTGAGCCATCACACACACTGTACTCCATCCTGGGCAAAAGAATGAGATGCCAACTCAAGGAAAAAAAAAAAAAAAGAATGACACAGACAAATGAAAAACCATTCTATGCTCACGGATTAGAAGAATCAGTACTGTCAAGATGTCCATTCTACCCAAGGCAATCTATAGATTCAATGCAATACTCATTACCAACACTATTTTTCCCAGACCTAGAAACAACAAAATAGAAATTCATATGGAAATAAAAAAGAGCACTAATAGGCAAAACAATCCTCAGCAAAAGGAATAAAGCAGGATGTGTCACACTTCCAGACTTGTAATGAACTTTATTATAAATCTACAGTAACCAAAACAGCCTGGTATTTGTATAGGAATAGGCATACAGACAACAGAACAGGATGGAGATTCTAGAAGCAAAAACACAGTCTCTCAACCAACTCATCTTCTGCAAAGCCACCAGTAACAATTACTGAGGCTGAATGTGGTGGTTTATGCCTATAATCCCAGCACTTTGGGAGGGTGAGGCAAGAGAATTGCTTGAGCCCATGAGTTCGAGACCAGCCTGGGAAACGTATCATCTCTACAATAAATCAAAAAAATTAGCTGAGCGTGGAAGCACACGCCTGTAGTTCCAGCTACTTGGAAGGCTGAGGTAGAAGGATTGCCTGAGCCCAGCAGGTTGAGGCTGCAGTGGCCATGAGTGTGCCACTGCATACCAGCCTGGGCGAAAGAGTAAGACTCTGACTCAAAAAACAAACAAACAACAACAACAAAACAATCACTGGGGAAAGGAGGCCATATTTAGCAAATGGTGCTGGGAAAACAGGCTGATTACATGCAGAAGAATGAAACAGCACCTCTACCTATCACCATATACAAAAATCAATTCAAAATGGATCAAAGACGTAAACGTAAAACCTCAAACTATAATAATCCTAGAAGAAAATGTAGGAAACACTCTTAGATATACTGGAGGAGGCAATAAATTCTTGACCAAGTCCCCAAAAGTGAATGACGTAAAAGCTAAGATAGACAAGTGGGACCTCATCAAATGGAAAAGCTTTTGCACAGCAAAAGAAACCATCAAGAGAGTAAAGAGACAACTCACATAATGGGAGAAAATATTTGCAAATTATGCATGTGACAAAGGTCTAACATCCAGGATCTGTAAGGAACTCAAATAAAGTGAAAGGAAAAAAACAAACAACCCCATTAAAAAGTGGGCAGGCTGGGCTCGGTGGCTCAGCCTATAATCCCAGCACTTTGGGAGGCTGAGGTGAGAGGATTACCTGAGCCCAGGGGTTTGAGACCAGCCTGGACAACTTGGTGAGACCTCGTCTACAGTAAATCACAAAAATTTGCTGGGCGTAGTGGCATGTGCCTGTAGTTCCAGCTACTTGGAAGGCTGAGGTGGAAGGATCACCTAAGCCCAGCAGGTCAAGGCTGCAATGGCAGTGAGGGTGCCACTGCACTCCAGCCTGGGCAACAGAGTAAGACTCCAACTAAAAAAAAAAAAAAAAGTGGGCAAAGAACATGAACAGATACTTCTCAAAAGATGACATACAACCAACAGACACATGAAAAACCGTTCAGCCTCACTAACCATCAGAGACATGCAAGTCAAAACTACAATGAGATAGCATATAACTCCAGGATGAGGCTGGGTAAGGTATCTCTCGCCTATAATTCCAGCACTTTTGGAGGCCAAGGTGAGAGGGATTGCCTGAGTCCACGGGTTCGAGACCAGCCTGGGCAACTTGGTGACCATCTCTACAATAAATCAAAAAATTAGCCGGGCATGGTGGCACGTGCCTGTAGTTCTAGCTACTTGGAAGGCTTAAGCTGAGGGATCACCTGAGCCCAGCAATTTGAGGCTGTGGTGGACAGTAGCGTGCCACTGCCCTCCAGCCTGGGTGACAGAGTGAGACTCCTACTAAAAAAAACCCCAAAAAACTCCAGAATGGCTATCATTAATTAGTAAAAAAAACTATAGATGCCGGCATGGGTATAGACAAAAGGGAATGCTTCTATACTGTTTGTGGGAGTAAAAGCTAGTTCAACCTCTATGGAAAGCAATGTGGTGATTCCTAAAAGAACTAAAAATTGACCTTCCATATGATCCAGCAATCCCTCTCCTGAAATTTTACCTGGAGGAACAAAAATCATTCTACAAAAAAGACACCTGCACGCACATGCTTACTGTCACACTAGTCTCAATAGCAAAAACATGGAATCAAGTCTACTGCCCATCGAAAGTGGACTGCATAAATAAAATGTGGTACATATACACGATGGCACATTAGGCAGCCATAAAGAAGAGCAAAATCATGGAAATCGCAGCAAATTGGATGGAACTGGAGACTACCATACTAAGTGAACTATTACAGAAACAAAGAACTGTAGAATTGTAGAGATAACTGTACAACTGTAGAATTGTAGAAAAAATATGACTAGTGTTTAGGGCTCACTCATAAGTAGGCCCTGAACATTACTCATATTAGCATAAGGGAGGGACCAGCAGTCACTGGGCACTGCTAGGGGAGGGGGGGAGGAAGGGAAGGAGGAGGATAGGGGGCACATGACAACTCAAAGAGTACCTGGTCCACTACCAGGGGGAGTGAGGGTCAGTTAGAAGCCCAAACTCCACCTGCACGCAGCCTACCTATGTAGTTAATCCTTACTTGTATCCTGCATCTCTATAATAAAATATTGCTTAAAAAAAAATAAAGGGCAGGGCTCAGTGGCTCAGCCTATAATCCCAGCACTTTTGGAGGCCGAGGCGAGTGGATTGCCTAAGCCCGCGGATTCGGGACCAGACCAGGCAACTTGGTGAGACCTCATCTCTACAATAAAGTAAAAAATAGCCAGGCATGGTAGCACACAACTGTAGTTCTGGCTACTTGGAAGGCTGATGTGGAAGGATCGCCGGAGCCCAGCAGGTTGACGCTGGGGGGTCCGTCAGTATGCGTGTCACTGCACCTGGGCGAAGGAGTGAGACTCCAACTCAAAAATAAGAAAGAGACAGAGAGAGAGAGAACTCCAAAAAACCAGGAATTATTTTTTTAGAAGGAGGGTCCTTATAGTATAGGCGTTCCCTGAACCCATGGGCATCAGTATAACAGCTAACATTGTGACAGACTGTGTTTGACTTCAGTGAATATTTTGGGGTCTTTCAATAAGTTTGCCTATTTCATAATGGTGATTTACGAGCACGCCGCATTGAGTATTCAGCAGTGTTTGACCAAAAACGGCATGGCCTCTGACTCCCCGCTCCTTATTCACCCAATCTTGTCCCAAGTGACTTTTTTTTGTTTCTCCAGTGAAAAAAGTTCTCACAGGAAACCAATTTGTCAATGTGTAAGAGATGAAACAAAAAATGGCAGAAGCATTAAAAGGCATCAAAATTGACAAGTTCAAAAACTGGAGAAGTAGAAAAAGCATCTTGATAGGTAACTGAAGTCTAAACATGTAAGAATAAAAACACAATTTTTTACAAATCCTGGGTTTTTGGGTCCCAGAATTTATAAACATCAGGTAGATTTCAGAGCAAAGAAAATTACCAAGGACAGAGAAGAGTATTTCATAATGATAAAAGGGTCAATTCACCAAGAATACACAGCAGTCCCCAACAGATATCAAACAGACCTTCAAAACATGTGAAAAAAAATTAATTGAACTGAGATAGATAAATCCACAATAATATCTGGTTGTTTCAACATTCTTCTCTCAACAATTGATAAAACTAGACAGAAAGTCAGCAAGCATGTAAGAGAATTCAACATCATCAACTAACAAGATAGAGCTGACATTTATAAAACACTCCACCCAGTCGGGTTTGGTGGCTCAGCCTGTAATCCCGCACTTTGGGAGGCTGAGGTGAGTGGATTGCCTGAGCCCGCAGGTTCG